TAGGAAAATATAATTGCATTTTTTTTAGTTGTAAAAGGTTTTTTTTTTGCCTTGAACTGAATTGTATAGATAAATTTGATACTATATAAATTTATATTGTGACCTTACTTTGGCCTTAGCATGATAGGTCTTTACACCTTCCACTTTTTGTCTGTTCACCAGCTTGCCCAGAAGTTACCTTCACCTAACAATAGTTCTGTTTTCTACCTTGTTTCATGGGTACTAAGAGTTGGATGTAAGTTTCTAGCGCCCAGCTTTGCTCTGCAGGAGGAATAACAGTCCTGTAGAAGTGACCTTGAAATGGTCTGTCTCTTAAGGCCACAAAATTGCTTTCTGAGAATTTGGCTGCAATCTATTCCAGACAATAGCAACCATTTCCTAGATTAGCTAGAGATTTATGCAACTCTTGTTGCTTCTCTATGGCCAATGAGCAGGAGAAATACAATTACAGCAATTTATGTTCCAACTGGTGTTTCTAGTTTCTGATGACATTTAGTAAAGCCAATTCAGTTATTTTAATTCTTTTTGTTATCGTTATTGCCATATTTGAGATGGGTAGCTTTGTTCTACTAAATAAAAACAAGGTTTCAATCAAGAATACACTTACCGAAGGAAAGGTTTTCTAGTGATTCCTTTTATACAAATTATACTGTCTTAAAACTAGTATTTGCTTCCTTGGGGCTATCTTTAAGGACGTTATCTCCATTTTCCTGAGCAATAAATAGCCTTATTACATGTTGCCCCTTAGTAACAATTTTTCTACTTATTTATTTGTTGTTACTGAGAAAAGTATTTTGAGAATAGTCTCCTTTTTAATTGTTTTGTTCTGCATACCTTACATAGCAAAGGGGTTTAGAAATGTTGCATCAGAAGATTGTAGGTCACCGGCCTATCTTTTCTGGTATATGATTCTATTTCATGGGAACGGAAAACTACTGGAAAGTGGGAGAAAGCATTATACATTAGATGACAGGGAAGAAGAATCTTCTGAAATAATTCTCTGGACAGGTTTCTTTTGATGTGTAATAATGAATTCATTCATTGTTACCTTGTAGTATACTTTGCTGCGCATATTAATTAAAATGAATGAAAACTGATTAAACGATAGTTAAATATTCTGAAGTCCAGAAAATATGTCATCGTTTGCTTTTTAATAGGATGTGGATGTTTGAAAGAAATTGGGTTCTTGTAAAAGTGTCAGATTTAAAGAAAACTGGATGGCATGCTTTCTTTTTCTCCTTTTCTTTTAATACAACTAATGCGTTGTATTAAATACATTTTGCACTTAATACAGTGAAAGTAACACTTGATCTTAGATGTTGTCATGATCATTTTGTAGAGGCCATGATGTTGTCCTGGTCTCTACAAAAATCACCTTGAATGCTAATTCGCTACTTTCAGATCAAGGGATTGCCCTGCGTATTCATTTTCCTAAAACAATATATCCTATATTACCATGAGAAAATACTTGAAAAATATTTAGTTGAGACTTTCCCATCCTGGTACCTTCTAGATGCTGGCTGGGAGTTGTGGGAAGGACAGCCTAATATGCCTGAAATATGCCATAATTTACCCAGTTTCTAATTTCCAGTAGATGCAATACATTTTGTCTCACTGATGAAAGATTAAAGAAGTGGAAGGTGTTGACTGTTAAAAAATACTTGGCGTGATAAAAGTAATACTTTCTTGGATTTCTGATTTTGTTGCTCCTTGTACCTCCTAGCACCACATGAAGCCAAGGGTAAAGTTCTTCCTACTCTCAAGACTGTAGTATGTAGAAGACAGATTGCTGCCTAGAAGGCTCTCATGGACAATGGTGAAGGAAAACTCCACCTCCCGCTGCTAAAGCACAAGAAACCTGAGGGCTGTCTCACAGTATGGATCTTCAACAAGAGAGTTTTGGATACTGATGGCAACAAAGCATTTGCATTTGTGTAAGCATCATTGGTTTTTATGACTGCATGCTGGAGTGGCAGGGGGGCTTTGAGGCAGAAGCCTTGAGATGTTATCTTGAACTGAATAAAACCTCTCAGATTTGTAGTGAAAATAGAATCTCAGGTGGGTCCATTTTTATTTTCTTCCTTAACTATTTTACTTTAGGGTATTTTAATTTTTCAGATGATCTTTTTATATTATGTTTTTGTTTCCTTTATCAATAGACACCTTCAGACTCTATGCAGGAACATGCCTTCTCCTGATAAAGAGAAACCGCGTCATCTTTCTCTTTTATTGATTTATTTTATTTTATTAATCAAATGCATATGCCGTCCATCTCACTGTATAAGTGACTCTAGGTGGCTTACAAGTAAAAATGGACAAATGGACAGAAGAAGTTACCGGAATAGATGAGCCCTTTTCTTTTTTCTCCTCTGTCTTTTTGCATTCTTGAGGGCTTGAAGGGAGGTTAAGGGAAAAAATGCATACATTTTTCAGAAGCACTCATTTTGCACATCATACTTCCCAAATCTGGAAAAAGTGCCAGATTTTGAGGGAATAGGAAGTTTATGGGGTGCAATGAGTAGCTTAATGTACCAATTCTCTTAAACCTGTCAAATTGCATTTTTTAAAAGAAAGGTCTAAAAATGTTGGGCCTGCTCACTCTGGGCGACTCTGTAGGCTGAACCCAATTCCCTGCCTTGTCCGTTGATTATCGATCGATTATGTGCCATCAAGCCAATGTTGACTCTTAGCGGCCACATAGATCTTCTCCAGGGTCCTCTGTCCCTGACCTGA